AAGGGATAGACTGGATTTCAAAATTGTAGAATAGATAAACAAGATTACACTGTATAGCACAGGGAAATATACACAAAAATGTTATGATAAATCACAGAGAAAAAAATGTGACAATGAGTGTGTATATGTCCATGAATGACTGAAAAATTGTGCTGAACACTGGAATTTGACACAACATTGTAAAATGATTATAAATCAATAAAAAATGTTAAAAAAAAATCTGTTAAGACTCTTTAGTTACGGAGGCATTTAATTATTTAGTTTTATTTCCCAAACAAGTTTCTCTAAATAGGAAACAACATATTTACTTACTGACATGAATATCACATTCCCCATGACAGTTACGGTCCTCGCTGTAAATTAAGAAATTGACACTGACTTTCAAATTAGCCATCTAGCAAAACCCAGCTTCCTGAACTTCTAATCTGGTTAATTAGAACACAAGCCAGAGTCAATAAAAGGAGAGGCTCAGCAAAGCTCAAATCTTGAACAATTGGCTAGACACTTAAAAAACAAATCACCTAAAAAAGAAAAAGAAAAAATAACACACACACACACACACACACACACACACTTATGTATATAAATATGCCCACCTGAGGACCACCATATATAAACAGCACAGTGGGGTATTTCTTTCCAGGTTGAAGATCATGAGGTTTGTACAGCATCCCATACAATGTAAATCCAGTAGTGCTTTCAAAAGAGAAAATTTCTGGAGGGGTATAGTCAGGAAGAGGACCTGCGAGGAGGTAACACCGAGTCTGTAAAAGGAGTTCTTATGGGAGCTCGACAATCTAAGAGCAAGGAAAAGGTACCATAAACCCACAACCACATACACAAATAACTGACTCTCCCCCTTTCAGGTGATAAGCAAGAAATTAAGCATGAACATTTACCTTTAAAAAAGAAAATCTAATGAACATGTCAAATTATCTATTTCAGAAGCAGACACACAGTATTATAAATAATCCTGGGAGTCAAGGAGGTATTTACATGCAGAACAATACAAATACTTTGCGCTCAGTTTGGTGTGACTTATTGATGGTTAAGCCATATACCTGATTAGAAACTGAAAGCACAAATTAACTTAGTCAATTTAACTTGATCACAGCAGGTGCTCAAAACACATTTGTTTCTGATCATTAGAGAATAAGCCTAATCGGGACGCAGAAAAAAAGTAAGTCATGATTAGTCTTTGGTTTTCCAAAGCTATGCAGACCTATCCTAAGTCTATGTATACTGGACGATGTGACAGTCTAAGCAGAGACCGTATTACTAATCCTGATCGTGGACATCAAAACATTCCTATACCTTGTGCTTTTGCACTGATGTTCTAATTCCTTAGCAGATATTAACAAATGAAGATACTTAACAGAAAGAAGGATTTGGGGATAAAATGAATTAAAAGATAAATAAAATCAGTCCATTCTTTATGCTTAAGAAATCAAGCATTTTGAAAATAATTCTAGTGCTCTTCACTCTCATACAGAATGAGTGTTCTATCTTTTATTAACATAGCCATTACAAGTTGTTTAGAATTTAAGAAAGTCACCAGCTGGTATTCCTTAAAGCTGCAGTTTCCCTGCTCAAAAGTTCAGCATATGTTATCTTCAAGTGCATTCGTTTATCTGGGAAATCATCCAAACATGTGAATAAATCATTTCCTAGCTGATATCTTGACTATTTTAATCTTATTTTCAAAAAGGCCTTCCAGACCTGCTCCTGCCTAAAGTTATCTGGTAGTTGACAGAGTAGGAGGGGTGGGATCAATCAGGAAGCCAGCAGCTCAGGGACAGGCAGTGGTGAGGGATGGGAAGACTGTCCAGGAAACATGGACATACGACACAGGTTTAGTGCATTAATGTACTAATCCTACTTAAGACCAGTTTCAGGGAAATGAGTACCTGCTGAATCCAAAATGGTGGCCCAAAATTCCTTTGTTTTGGAAGCTGGGTCGTCTTCAGAACTTGATAGCTTGTAAAGGGATACACAGTGTGGATTCTTCTGGTTACTGTACTTACTTATAAAGAAGTCACAATGCTAGAGAAAGGAAAAACAATTACTTTTTCCCCAGGGAAAAGTAAAAACCTCTGCCCTGATGCTATAGCAGGAGCATGCTAAGAGTCTGACCACTTATATGCACATTCAATGCTAAAGTTAAGGCTAAGCTTTTTGCAGGCCAACTTCACTGATTTTCACATTACTGAGAAGGAGTATTACATGAGCAGAGTGTTTTTTATATGACAGGAAACCCTTTACAAACAAGGGCTTAATACCCGGCTGATGCAGCAGGAGTGGGAATAGCCACGGTCAGTCAGCCTTGTCACCTCTCCAGGATTTACATAACTGACCACATACAGGTGATGTTCTAAAGGAGAGTCTTTGGTGCCTTCAAAATATACCAGCTTTCTGACTTCATCAACCTGGATCTGTCAAAATAGCAACAACAAAAAAATCAAGATCTAGCAAGACCTTGGCAAGGCCAGTAATTCAACAAACAATACCCAATTTTATTCAGAATCATTTCAGTCACCTTTGATTTGTGCCTCTATTAAAAAATTTGTCACCAATGTTAATAAACCTGAGTTGGTTTTATTCATGTCTTATAGCTAAGACTAGATTCTGTCCAAAAAAAAAAAAAGGACGCCTGAGTTGCATGCTAGTGGCAGAGTTTCCAATATGGTTAGAATGTATGCTCTTCTTAAGATACACTGATTATTTCATTAAAACGACAACCCTTTACAGAGAGAAAATACCTATACAGGTCAACCATTCATGCACATTTAAGAGTCTAATTTTAGCATTCTGCCTATTTCTCAGTGCAGCATTATCTTGAGCAGTATTTTTTTTTGGTCTTTTGTAGAAATTTGCAAAAATGTTTTATCTATTTGGGGTTGGGGGTAACTGAACTCAATCCCTCAAGCAGTTTCAATACTGGTATAGTTTATAAGTATGGATAAGATCTTTTAAGTCTTCAATACCGAACTCAAAAAAAACCAAAAACAAAAACTGCAAGTAAACTCATGGCTGAATTCACTTGATGTTCTTCCCAAATTACAGTAAGATTTTAAATAACTTGCTTTTATTGTTTCTTTTTAAGATCTTCTACCAGCCTACTCAAATAATGTTTAATAAAATTCACCATTTTTTTTACATAGCAAAGAAAACATAGATACATTTCTAAAATGAATATTTTTAAATGCCACATATTCTTCAGGAAGCTTCTTCATCATTACAAACACTTTTAGCATGCATGGATACAGAAATAAATACAGTTGACACTAAGTAGGCCCATATGACAGAGACAGAAAGGATATAAGGGATAAGAAATGGCAAAATCATGAAACCTCACAGGTACGTGTTAATCTGTGTGAAAGGTCAGGATGGGTTCTGCTCGTGACCTAGAGGCTAGAAGTCAGGCCTTTCAAAATTGAATAAATAACTTATTAATTCCTCACTCCCCTTTTCTTTGTTTCATGTAACAACTTTACAGGAAACACCTGAGGCCTTTAGCATCACATGAGTATTGAAATCATCTGAGGGGCTCGTGAAACAGACTGCTGGGTCCCATTACCAGAGTTTCTGATTCAGGAGGTCTGGAGTGGGCCCAAGAATTTGCAGTTCTAAAAAGTTCCCAGAGATGCCAATGCTTGGCTTCTGGTGCAGGGGCCATACTTTGAGAACCCTAAGGGGGCACATGGACTCAGAAGTCTCAAAGCTTCACCCAACTACTGTCATTAGAAATCTTTGGGTGTGAACTAGGTCACTGGCAAAAGTAAAGAAGGGAAGAGTGACTTAAAAAAAATAAAGCAAGGATAGAGGGAAAATAGAAGAGTTAGAAAGAGGACACAAACACATCACAGAAATAAGCATGACATACACAAAGAAGAAAATTGATGCACAAGATAGCTAGTAGTAGAAAGACATTCAGGTTGCCCAAATAGGGTTCAGATCTGCATAAATACAGTCTTAAGGGCTCCCTCAGTATTATCCAACCATTACACAGCATAAAGTTTACATCAGCATAATTTTTTGTTTTCAGAATTTAGAATTTCACTGTAAGATTCTTCTCAGGTGACAGTAACATCCAAGGTCCCTCAACAGAAAAAATACACATATTGACTATATAACCAGAAGGCCATGTGACACTCTCAGTGGAAATGAGACTTTAAAAGTTGCCTATTATATTCTAAAGTTTTTACCAACAAAAACAAACCTGGGACCTGGATCTTCTTTGTTTCTCCTTAATCACCCTGGGGACTACGAGTGACTTCTATAGTAGCCAGTATACACAATCCTTCAATAAATCTCCGAATCAGTTTGAGGAAATCACAGGCCTTCACTAAATCCTGGTAGCATACATCAACTTAACTGTATGTATCACACATATAAAGGATGGAGTTCTTAGAGCTCTCATGAAACTGACCACCTAACTGAAAGTTGAAACAAATGTGAAATACTATAAAAGGCAAAAGAAAAAAAATTAGAATTCATTGAATTGCTACAGAAAGCCATATCCCGAGGGTGATTTCTTATCAATCTATGCTCTCTATAAATGTCCATCATATTTGCAGGTGGTAGATGAAACTTTACATTTGTGAGATAAGGTAAACAGATGAACACAAGAGCTTCAAAACCTCAGAAGCAGTAAATGCAATTTCTAATACAGAAATGACAGGAGTAGTCTGTAAGAGATTTAGAAATAATTTTCAAACTGTATCCTAACTCACAGCTTTTGCTAGACTCGGAAAGTATGGACCAGCCCTTTCCTTATTAAGTAGTAACACTGTATTTGAAAATGGTGACCTTTAGTAACCACAGCACATCTAACACTAGGGTTATGAAATGGGTGGGATTTATACATTAAACTAAGACTCTTCTTTTCTAACAACTTGAGCTCTTCAGGCCCTAATTTAATATTTTCAGAATACTGGGGTCAAATGAAGTTGCACTCCTGGTTGTTTGTACTGTATACACACAGCCGATGCTGACGAAACATGTTATTAGAATAAAAGAACATACATTAGATCCATGTCGGCCAAGAACTTCCCATTCACCACTGGTAATTGCTATTTCCTCTTTGACAGGACATTTGAAATCACCTAAAGATAAATATAGTTATAATTCAGCACTTCACACCAGACTATAAACAAATGAAACAATGAAGAACAGTATTCTAAATGCTTTTTTCCAAAAAAGTACACTGAAAAATTCAAGTTATGTTTGCAGTAATGAAAATGTTTTGGAACTAGATAGAGGTGGTAGTTGTACAATATCATGAATGTATTAAATGCCACTGTTCATTTTAAATGTATATTTTAAAACGGTTAATTTAATGTATGTGAATTTCACCTTAATATAAAGTCTACAGTTAGAAACATTCCAGGTTGTGAGTCTTTATGATGGAATGATCTACATAAACAAAGTAAAAACAGCAAAATAGATTCTTATGGCAAAGCCAGAAAAGAACTCAAAGTCACTTGCCTTCCTAAACCTTTGCCTAGACAAACAAAATCATGTAATGGGTCAATAAGGCATTCATTTCTTCTAGAAATGCAACAAAACTACTTAAGAAGCTCAGAAGGAACATTTTAATACCATTGTTTTTTATTTGCCAAAAATAAACCGGGTTTTTACCATAGTATATGCCAATATGTCCCATGTATCTTTATGAGATTCTGTCTTGGTACATGAGGTTCTCAGTGGCCTAAGGAGGAGGCTGAAAAAAATGGAAACCATTGCCCTATGCCTGGCTAATGCTAGGTATGGCTGTGAGGAGTGACAGCTGAGGACAGGCTGAGATGGTCAGATGATACAGGATCTTAACCAGGGTCCCACTCAAGTTAAAAAAACAGACTTCTTTTTCTTAGATACAAAAATTCCACTTAAGTACATTAAATTTTATCACCAGAAAACGAGTATTATTTAACATATATAACAAATACAAATTGTTTCACATTATAGCCACTTATGGAAGAAAAGAGGAGAGAGGAACAAAATAAAATGGACATCAGGAACAGGAGGAAGATCTGCAGCAAGAAAGAATAAGTAAAAAGGAGGGAAATGAAAAGAAGTAGAGAAACTGAAGGGCCCAGAAACAGACACCAAGAAGGAACAGAGACTAGGCGTTCTGAATGAACCTCAGCTGAGGGGAAACGCTCTTCTTATTCCTCAATTGGAGTATAAAATTTTAAGCTATCTTCTTTCTATTACTGTCCCAAGCATGTTGTTTTAGTTAACTAACTACTATTCACAGCTTTCTGACCAGTCTTCATCACTAAACTTTCTGGCATTCCATAAGTGGATTTATTTAATTTCTGAACACCAGAAGAATTGGTAGGGCAACTTCACGCTAAGGGCCAAGTTAAACTAAGGCTCTTAGGGAAGAAATCTCCATCTTAGATATACTAGATCTTGTCTGACTTTTAAAAAAAATTAGACTAAGGAAAGGAGCAAAGTCATAGGCAGTATTTACTTTGCTAAGATGGAGCTCACTGTTTCCCAAGTAAGAATGATATTTAAAAGGCCATGTTGAGGGGGAAAAGTATAGCTCAGTGGTAGAGTGCATGCTTAGTAGGCACAAGGTCCTGGGTTCAATCCCCAGTACCTCCGTCAAATAAAAGTAAGTAATTAAATAAATAAACCTAATTAGCCCTCCATCCCAAAAAAGGCCATGTTGAAAAAACAAACGACCCAAATAAAAAGTTGGCAAAGGATCTGAATAGACATCTCTCCAAAGACACACAAATGGCCAATAAGCAGATGAAGGAATGTACAGTATCACTAACCAGCAGGAAAGTGCAAATCAAAAGCACAATGACATACCATTTCACACCCCGTAGGACAGCTATTGCCAAAACAAACAAACAACCCTAGAAAAATCACAAAATTTGGCTAAGATGTGGAGAAATAAGAACCTTTGTGCACTGCTAACAGGAATGTATTATTAAAGTGTAGCTGCTAAGGAAAAGAGTATGGTGGTTCTTCAAAAAATTAAAAAAGGAATTACCATGTCCAGCCATTTCACTTCTGTGTATATACCCAGAAGAACTGAAAGCAGGGTCCATACACCCATGTTCGTAGCAGTATTACTCCCAATAGCCAAAAGGTGGAAGCAACCCAACTGTTCATGGGTAGATGAATGGATAAACAAAAACAAAATGTGGTATATACATACAATGAAATATTATTCAACCTTGAAAAGGAGGGCCATTCTGATACATGCTACAACCTAGATGAACCTTGAGGACACTATGCTAAATGAAATAAGCCAGACATTAAAGGACAAATATACTTATATAAGTATAATTATACTTAAATGAGGTATCTAGATTAGTCAAATTCATAGAGACAGAAAGTGGTTGCCAGGGACTGAGGGGAGGAAGGAATGAAGAGTTATTATTTATTTTCCACTAAATTAGGTATTACTCATTGGATAGTTTCAGTTTTAGAAAATGAAAAAAGTGCTGGGGATGGATGGCGGTGATGGCTACAGAACAATGTTAACATACTTAATGCCATGAAACTGCACACTTAAATGGTTAAATTGGTAAATTTTGTTATGTGTATTTTACCACAAAAAATGGCTGAGTCTGTTAAGTTACAAATGGCAGTTAAGCATATAACATTATAAAATGCCTAGGGTCCAAAACAAACTCTGTATTTTTAAAGTAGAAAACCATAACTCAATTTTTCAAATACCCAGGAGATGTATCTGATGTACTATTTCATTTTTTCTAGGCTTACACATTCTATATTACATTTCCCAGAAGGAAAACTATCACTTTTTAAAAAGAAATTAACTTCAGCTGACATAATATTTAATTTCACTTTGGGCAACATAATTTTATCAGTCTGAGGCGCTATAACTATAAATTAACTTCAGCGTAGATGCAGACAGTATTAAAAAAATCTAGTATGTACAAATATCTACTCACTATACAACATTTTTAAAATAGCTTTTTTAATCTAAAAATTATATGGGCTGATTTTAAACAAATTAAAAAGTACAGTCAAGGTCAAAGTCAAAAAAAAAAGAGAAAGTAAAAATAAGTAATCCCAGTACCCAGAGATGACCCACTATGAACAGTTTATTATGTATCCACCGAGAACTCTGTCCTACGCTTATAAAGTATATAAAAAAAAATTAGATTACCCTGCCCCTCCCACCTCTGCTCCCAACATTTTTTCCTTTTTAAATAAAAAAGGATTTCTTACTTGGGGCAGGCAGCCCACCACTGGATCGTTTATATTTGCTCTCCTTTAAAATGGATGTGATTTTATATAAATGACGGAAACCTGTTTTGCATTCAGAGGCAAAAATAAATTCAATTTCATCTTCATGACTTTGGGGAAAAACATGAAAGATGTCATGGATCTGTAAAATGAATAGCTTAATTTACTATACACATTAATGAAAATACTACATAAACAATTCAATTAAGCCAGAGAAAGAAGAATTACTTGATAAACATACTCCAAAATATAAATAACCGTCAGGCTGGGGGCATGGTATATGTACAATGTTAGATTTTGCCTGGGCCTTTCATATTTATCTTACTTTAGTCAAACACTTCATCTATGTAGAAATAAATGTTTCCAAATGGAGAAGATAGAAAAATGTGGCCAATAGCTGTTTCTTACTCACCATTCTCTGCAATCCTTTGAAACATGGCACGAGGTTTGTTTAATGCTATAAACCTTATTACAGAAATGATGAGGATAAATTTTTTTTTTTACTTTTCTTTTCCAGAGAGAAACATTCTAACAGTTGAAGGGAAAGCAGATGTTCATCTGGTTTATGTGAATCATATGAAGCCTATATTCAGCCAGGGAGTGAGCTGGCTTTATTTATTTTGTATCTTGTTTTAAGTTTTTTCCACTAAACTGGAAAATTCAAAATTAATCCCAAACTGGTATATTTTGGTATAGTTTGCCAACTTGAAAGAGAAAGCCCTTTCCAGACAGAACTCCTGTGGTCCTCTCAGAGGCCCTTGGATGAGGCAGTGTTTTCAATATCCAGGAACAAGGGCAATTCTGCAGCCAGGGAGACGTCATTTCAGTGGCATCTACTTTCTGTCTACAAACCCCTCCCCATTCTGGAACCATCATCCCACTTTGAAATGTTCTAACTAAGCAAATAACGTTCATGATTACTTTGAACTTAAAAAATTCATTTTGATAGTCAGCACTCAAGCTTCATTTGCTTTAGCACTCTGAGAAAATATTTAAACCAAGTACAAGAAAACATGCATACATTTATCCAGATGTCTGTTGTTTCTTCATAGATAATAAGTGGCGTCACAGAGTCAGGCACTGACTCAATGAGTCTCTGCCTTTCCATGGCATCATCTTCTACTGGGATAAATAACTCAGGTGAGATCAACACTATCTGCAGGCGAGTCTGGGAGCGATCGAGCAGGATGGCCCAAGCACTATTTAGATAAATAAAAGGAAAGAACCAAAAATAAAGCCAACTTGCAGAAAATGAATACTCAACTACTTCCTCCCCTAGCACCCATCAGTTATTTCTGTAATCACAAAGGAAGAATTGCTTTAGTTTACGTTAAATTATCACTTATAAATGACTAATTTAAAGTATTAGCTTATTCTACACTTATTTTTAAAAGTTAAGCTTGAGCAGAGTTTTTTAAAGTGGTTTTCTTTAAATTTCCAAAACCACAGGTGGCTTTTGAAATTGTTTTCTCCCTTTAATGTCAACAAACACCAGCCTTGTGAAACTCCCGTTATCCGCATTAGACACAGGAACTATGTGTAATCAACTTTATATAAGGCTCTACAAGTATTTGCTTAAATTATATAATAATAAAAGTACACACTTACACGTGAGCCTGAAAGTCATACAATTTAACCACAAATAACACTGTGAAACCATGACTGGCTAGGTAACAGACAATTAAAATGCAATGCACCTACACTTACAGGATTACAAATCCTCAAGTCAATTTAGTTCAGGAAAAATTCTTTGTGCAGAAATAACTATGCTGCAAATTTACATGTGAAGGCAGCTGCCCTGGAAAGAAAAACCTAATAGCACAGACAGTTCTGGATCCTAAATTATTTGTAAGGAAGTGACAATTTAACATACGCACTATTTTCCCTCTGGAGTCCATCCAGCTCTGGCAATATATTCAGCTCCTTCAAACAGAATCTCAAAAGGCTGAATTAGCTCCTTATCTATGACATCTATAATCTATTAAAAAAGAAAAAAAGGAATCTAGTTATAGAAGACTTAGATAAATAATTAGCTTACTGGTCCACTTAAATCACTATCTTTAACAACATGACACCTTTTCAGTCTTAGGTTAATAGGACATAGCAAAACCAGCAATAAGTTGTGGGTTACCTATACTGGTGCTCTTTATGCCTAAAAAAGTTCTAACTATAAAAATCAGCGTAATCTAAAAGTCTTTTCCCATGAGTTCATACTAATAGAACTCTTGAAAATCACCAGTAAATCAGGTTTTAATCACTTTAGACTCTAGTATCTAAGAAAAATCAGTCCCTAGTTCCTTATATTTTACCCTAAAATATTATTTGTATACTATATTAGTGAAATGGTCCTGGGTAAGCAAACTTTTTCCCTTTAAAAGTCTAGCTAATACAATTAAAAAATAAATTTTTAAAAATGGGCAAAAGATCTGAATAGACAGTCCCCCAGAGGAGATATACAAATGGCTAATAAGCACATAAAAAGATCACCATCATTAGCCATCATAAAAATATAAATCCAAACCACAGTAAGATACAACTTCAAACCCACTAGGACGGCTATGAGACAAACACGAACAAGTGTTGATAAGTATGCGGAAAAGTTGGAAACCTCACACACTGCTGGTGGAAATATAAAATAGTACAGCCACCTGGGAGAAGTTCAGCAGATCCTCAAAGATTAAATAAACATAGAGTTATCCTAGGACCGAACAAATCCACTCCTAGGTATCTAACCAAGAGAAATGAAAACTTGTACGCCCACAGTATTGGCAGCAGTATTTTTAACAGCCAAGAGTTGGAACAACCCAAATGTCCATAACTGATGAACAGATAAATAAAATGTGGTATATCTATACAATGGAATATTCTTAGGTGATAGAAAGTAATGAAGTGCTGTTATATAGTGTAACATGATTAGTGCTTGAAAACATGATGTTAATTAAAGAATCTAGACTAGATACTGTACGATTCCATTTACACAAAATGTCCAGTGTATGCAAATCCACAGACAAAGATTAACGGTTACCCCGGGGCTGAGGGGCATGGGAAGGTTTGGGGGTGATGACCAAGGGATGTGGGTTTCTTCTAGAGATGATGAAAATATTCTAAAGTTGACTGTGGTGATAGCTGCACAACTCTGTGAATACACTAAAAGCCATTTTAAACTTTAAATGAGTGAATTGTACTGTATGTGAATTATATCTCAATAAAGCTGTTTTAAAAAAGTCTAGCAGAGAAGACTGCTTTTTAATTAATTTTGTATATATTCAGCTTACAAGGATTTGGCTGTCCAAATCAGAGAACAGTAGTATAAGAGAAATGAGGGATATTTATATCAATCTACCATAGACATCTATTCAGCACAGAAGGTAACTTACCAGTCAAAAGCCACTATTTAAAAAACAATGATCTGGAGAATTAGCAAAGGCAAAGGGGAAACCCTATTGGAAAGCAGTAGTAAATATGCATATTCCCATATTCCTATTGAGAACCAGCAGAAAGTTTTCAAAGTAGAAAATCAGGTCAACCTGGAATCATGATCTGCAGATCTCAGCAAGTTCAACGAGTCCAAAACATAAAGAAGTGTATTTAGGATCTCTACTGACTGACTAGTCAAATGACACACAAAGTTAACTCGGCATTTTATACTTACCCTTCCTTCAGTATCAATCAACATCTCCGACATCTTAAAAGTGACTTTTGGATTTGCTGTGCCTTTAGAAAGAGACATAAATGAACAGTAATGCACATCCAAAATTATTCAAACTAATGTTGCCAGGTCAATCCTTCTTACGCTTCAGTTAAATCAGGGATACTGCACAGAGTCAGGGCTTGATAGCGTAAGAAATTCAAAACTCCATTTCAAATTCACAATTTTTCATATGGGTATTAAAAAAAAGCTGTAAAATATCAAGTCAGTAGGTAACAAAGAAGGGAAACTCTGTATCATTTTACAGTTGAAATGCTGTAAACAGCATATGTGGGGGAAACTATTAATTCATTGAGAACATAATCCCTTAAAAATCTTCACTTCCTAGCAAAGACACTTCTTTATTCGTTTCTTGAAATAATCAGTACACTTCCCCAGCTTTGAAAATAACTAAAAGGATCAGCTTGTAATTAGAAAAGCTACTTCAGGGACACTTAATACACAGCTCATCCTTGCTAAGGCTGCAAAGAACCAGTGTTGACCATACCTTTGGATAACTGCAGAAAAAATCTTGTTTGAAAAGTAGGAATGAATGAATATAAATGCCAATGGAATACAGTACCTGTTTTAGGATAACGGAATGAATCTGCCCTCCTTGTTTCCAACATAGGTGATGTAACATGAATAATTTCCACCTCAGATTCATCGTTTTCTTCATACAGAATTCTAAGAATTTTGCTGCCACTGGGAGCTTAAAAGGAAATTAAATATTGAAAATGTAGAAGAATTATGCCAGAAATTAATCATAATTGACCAGTCCCTCTAGTATTATATTTCCCATAGTGAAAAATAGTTTATATATGAACTACGCTGCCTTTTATGTTTGAAAATATCACTAGTCTTTGTAGTAGCAAGCTAAGTTACTGCTAAGCCACTTTTACTGGTTAAAGGTTATTCTTTTTGGAGGGCATGTAAAAAAATACACATACATATTTAAAAAAGGGGAAACACTTGTGAAGGATTTCAGTGCTTGCGTACCTTAAAATTCATTAGTGTTGAAAAGTGTATCAATACACTTACAATATTTCCTATAAAAAGTCCTATTTCAATAGAATCTAGTTTTTTGAATAGTTTCTCTAATTCATGTCACAATCTTGTTCTAACAACATAGTTCTTATAAAACACTTTACATCTTAAAATAAAATGTCCAAATCTAAGACACGGCTTAAAAATAAATATTTTTCATGGTCCCTGAGAGACATGTTCAAAAACGCTAGCTGCAATCCACTAGTGGGTTATGAAATCTTTTAATGGCTCATAACCAGCATTTAAAAAATACAGCAAACAGAAAAAACTATACAATGTCAGAGTGCATTACACATAAGGATAAGTATTGCTTCATGAACTCTGTTTTCAGTTTTATGTATAGAGTACATGTACAATGTGTTAGGCTAGAATGGAAAATAAATTTCTTACTGGATCGTAAGTCAAAGTTTGAAAGCTCCTGCTTCAGAGAGCTTTTTCTTGGCAAGGAAAATACTCGTCAATTCACCAAGAAAAAGGACAAATTTGTCCCTTTCTCTGATCCATTCATACACTAATTTGGCCATCTGTTCTTGCGGACTCCCTAGCCAGTCCTATGTTCTTCCAGCAACTCTCATTAAGGTGTGATATTTTAATTTTGCTACCGACATTACCAAGACCAGCTTCTAGATGAACAATTGGCAAGGAGAGTTGAAGGACCTGGGGCACTGAACCACAATGCAGTTGTTTTTACTAGAATTCATTATGGTGGGATACAGCCTGAATATTCTAAATAATTACTGCTAGGATCCAGTCTTCAGCACTTCAGAATCTACCGTTCAGAATTAAGAATCTGTGCACTTAACTAATTGGTAGTTCAATCTCATAACACTGCAATTGACCTATAATAGATTATTTTGAACCGTCTTACTTGTTTCAGCCTCTGGACACCACCAATAGCCAGAATATCTATCAAATTCTTCTTGAAGAACAAAGGTAGCAACTCCGGCTGACCTGGGATCCTCCTCCATGTTGGCTAGCTCTGTGCAAACATAAAGGCAAATCTCACACGAAGTTCTTTCTCTTTTCACAGGCACAAGGCAGAATGATTCAGTTTACTCTGAAAGGCAGCTGTTGTATAGCGGCGAACTCTGGAGCCAAATGGACTGAGTTCAAATCTGGATTCCATCACTTACTAGCAGACTGACCTCAGGCAAATCACCCTGTCACATTTGACTGCTGTGTCCCACTTGCAAATGAGAATAAGAACCTACCTTATATGACTGCTATGAAGATTCAATGAGTTACTTCACATAAAGTACTTAAAACAGAGCCTGAACCATAGCATGTGTTCCATAAATGTTAGGTATTATTTTCCCATTTGGTTAAAATCATGGGAAAAAGAATACATGTAAGGGTCATGGTGACTTACAACTCTCCTACACAGAGAAGCACATCTTTAGACCTCGAAGGGGTCTTTACCGATCATGTGATTCAACATTCCTCCCCTCTCCCCTTCCTCCCATTCAAGCAGAGCAGATCAGTTTTCATCTGTTTTACACTTAGGTTTCCAGCAAACAGTTGAAGGGAACTTTTGCTTTAAAAAAACAAAAATAAAAACAAAAAACCCCACAAAGCCATGATTACATAAGATTTCGCAGCATGGGGAAATGTTTATAATATACTTGAATTTTAAAAAGCATATTACTAAATGATATGCATGTTGTGATTCCATTTATAAAAATGTTATACAAATATATGCTTTTTAAAGTGTTGGAAAATAAAACAAAATGTGGTTCTCTCCAAATAGTGAGACTATGGACAAGCTTTTTTAAAAAAATGCTTTATATTTTACAAAATCTTAAGTGTACCATTTATTTTTAAAAATGCATATACTTGTATAACCACACCCTATCCAGACACAGAATATTTCCAACACCCCAGAATGTTTTCTCATCCCCCTTCCCAGGCAAGGTCCATGCCCACCCCAGAAGCAACCATTGATGTGACTTCTATCACTGGATGTTAATAGTTTTGCATATTCTAGAATTTCATAGAAGTGAAATCATACAGTATACACTTTGTGGTTTGTTGCTGAGTGATGTTCTACCATAGTTCTTTTACCTGTTCATCTGTTAATGGATATCTGGGCAGCTTCTAGTGTTTGGCTATTACGAATAAAAATGCTATGATCATTTTTGTGTAAGAATCTTTGTGGATGCATGTTTTCAGTTCTGTTGAATAAAGACCTAGGAGTGGAATGGCTGGGTAGTACGCTTAGGGTGCACTTAAATTTGTAAGAAACTGCCACACAGTTTTCCAAAGTATTTGTATTAGTTTATACTCTTACTAGCAATGTATGAAAATTCCTCTCCAACATTTGGTCTTCTAAGGGATGTGCAGTAGGATCTCACAGCGATTTTAATTTTATAGGCGAGTTTCAATGTATTATCTTTCTTATCTGTATTTTCTATATATTGCCTGAAACAAATGCGCAATATAAACGAACATCCCCTTGTCCAAATATTTTGAGTCTAGAAGTATTTAGAACTCAGAATGTGGAGGATTTTTCATATACTGTACATCTAACCACATAATTTGCCACGTCTCCAGCAGGGCAATGAAATACCTGTAATCAAATACACCAGTTTTCCCGCAGCAAACTTATGAATAGGTACGCTAAGAAGGATTAAGGTTATAAATAGCTTCAGGTCAGTTCAGGTCAGGTTTTGCCACCAAATGAGTTTTTAGCACCAGCCTAATGAAAACTAAGTTCAGTTGTCAGAGTTTCTTGAATTTGGGAATTAATGAGATAGCCAAAACAGTGCTCAGTTTTCTTGGACCTTTGAACTACTCCAAAGCTATACCTTCCACACTGTTTTGTATTTTGTTCTCCTTTAGATGTGAGAATAGGTCCCACTCATTTGTATCTCCCTATCACTTATTCAGACCTCAATTACTAAGATTTATTAGATGAATAAGTGATATCAACCTTGTTCTCCCAATAAGATATGTCATTTGAGTATCAGCTGGGATTATGTTACTTTTAAATTCCTCTATCATGCTGGGAAGAGAATAAATATATGCACATGTGATTGACTAAACCCATTCAAAGAGAACCTGCACGTGGAACCTGCTGTGAATAAGAGGAGTAAGAGTGATGATGCATACTCTCTGCCTTCCTATCTAAACAAACATTAAGTAGCAGTTGCTTTGCAAAACACTTCACAAATATTAAGTCTCAATAACAACCTTATGATATCATGCTACTAATTAACCTTTTTAGAGATGTGGAAGCAAAGAGCTAGGTTAAGTAACACTCAGAGTAACAGAGCTCAAGTGGTAGATGTGGGCCTCAAGCCCCGATACCCCAGTTCCAGACTGCATTTCTAACCACTACACTAGTCCTGGAAATAATAAATACACCACATACCCACATGTACAGAAAAGAAGAAAAACACTGCTATAGCATCCTGCAAGATTTCAGGGTTTCTACTTTAATTTGTGCCAATCTTCACAATAATCCTGTGTGGAAAACAATTCTACAGAAGATTAAAAAACATACAAACTGAAAAAAGAAAAAGCCTTAATTCTAACAGTTACTGTCAAAGCTTTGCAGTCTCAGCCTTTAAAGTAACTAGCTCATAGTGAGAGTTTAATGTTTGTTGAAAGCATGAACAAATGGCTAGGATTCCCAACCCAGATTTACCACTACCAACCTAACCTGTCTACTGCCAGTGGTAGCTGTTCTGATTCCCTGACTACAAATGGAGACTCATTAAACACCAAAACACGTACTTTTTACTCAGAATTTTCCCTATTCCACCCCCTTTTCCTATCCTATGCTCTAGTTTCAGGCTATAAAGCCTGGAAAATTGCAACAGTCAAGCTTTGGTGTCCCTGTCTGTAGACTTGAACTTCTCATATATAAATTGCACAAAATATCCAGAACAATTTCTCTATGACTCTGACCACACCACTCAACTGCTAAAAACATTTCAGTGAATCCCCGTATCATGATAAAGGCCATGTTCATTTACATAAGGTACAGTCTATCCCTGTCCTGGCTCTTCTTATCTGCCAGCTTTATCTTTCCTCACATCTTGACTCATACCTCATGCTTTAGGACCAGAAGACTGCTTCTAATTCCTCACACACACCACGGTGCCTTCTGCATCAAGCCCTTTCTCATGGAGTTCCCCCTGCTTGCTGTGTACTGGCTAATGTACAGTCACCACTTAAGATCAGTTTAAGTGTCATCTCTACAGTGAAGCCTTTCCTGACATTTACTGCCTACCTCACTGGTGTTCTCATAACACCCTACTTTTTCTTCTTATCATCCTGTTTTGTTATTTGTTTATAATTTCCTTGAGGGCCAGGACTATATCTTTTTCAATTCGGTACCTTTAGTTTCTGCCCGAGTGCCTGGCACATAGGAACTGGATCTATCTTTGTTGACTGTTCAAATAGTTAGAACAGATTTCTTGAATCCTAATTCAGTGCTCTATCAATGTAAAAAGTTCAGGAAGAGGCGGCTTCTATAACACTGATTATCCTAATGAAAAAGTGTTTACCGTCAATACACTATCATAATCTAAAATAATTTATTAAGATGCCCAATAAACCAGTTTTGTGGAACATTAGCTTATGCAAAAGTTGAACAAATAAATTTCTAGAGTGACTGTCCTTCATTATGCAGCTTCATCTTAAGGTCTATCTCATATGTAAAAAAAAAAAAAAAAGCAATACACTATTTCCCATCTTTCATTTGTATGAAAGCTTTAGAGGAAAACATCCGTATATTTTCTGTGCTTTCAGTAGTGTGTAGCATTATTATAGTTCAATAAAAATTAAATGTTTCCACAATACACATAGTTCTACAAAGTTTTATTTTTCCTATTATGACAAAATAACCAAGTAGGCTCTCCAAAAAGGGGAGATAAATTTTTAGGTAGTTCTTACAATGTGTATTAGGTTTTTCTGTTTGTTTTCTTAAAAACAACATTAACTTTTTTAATTAAAATTTTACTCTAATCAGAACAGTTGGGGAAATTCTGGCAGTCTTATTAGGCTAAAAGAATAATCATGTCACAGGTGCTACTGTTGTAAACTGAACATTAAAACAAGGCAGCATTATATAGGTGGTACATACCAGTTATCCTCTGTACTTTTGCTTTTTTTAATTTTAAAGATTTCAATTTAAAATATAAAGATCACCCAGTATGCTTCAATTTCAAAATGTAGCAAAAGCAAATTACATTTTAAAAATACTTTTCAGAAATGCAGATTTGAAGAACTTGAAAACCTGAATTACCATTGTGTACATAGGTGAGCCTCCTTTCTTCTCTCGTTACAATGTTGGATATCCAAATATCATTGCTATGTATAAAAGCGATCCAGTCTGGATCAGCCGGGCATAATTTTGGATCCATCCGAATGTTGGGACAACTAGTCTCCACTAAATTGGGCCGTAAGGGTTGTTGCTAGAAAAGTAAACAACATTTAAAGGCAAGTATCAGGCTGATACATACATACTTGTTTGCCAGCACCCTTCCTATAAAATGAATACTAATTCTGGTGGGGAGGGCATAGCTCAGTGGTAGAGTGCGTGCCTAGCATGCATGAGGTCCTGGGTTCAATCCTCAGTACCTCCATTAAAAAGATAAATAAAACTTAAAAAACCTTATTACCTCCCCCACAAAATAAAACAAATAAAAATTTTTCAAAACATGAATACTAATTCCAAGTAAAATATCAACTATGATAATTGGTCCCCAGCAAAACACACTTTCATATGCCTTAACTTATAAAGGACTCATTTTTTTTTACTATGAATTAATAAGTGAGGAAATAGAGACAATATTAGTGCACTTTACAAATTTTGTTGCCCAAGCTTATTAATAGAGTAATTGTTATTTGTTATGTATTTTATTAAACTTATTTACTGACTATTTTATTTATTACATATTTCCAATTAATTTTACTAGTATAAAACAGTTTGCTCAAAAAAATACAATGAAAACCAGAATCATCACAATTCTATAGGAGGACTAGTTCTAATATTACATAAAAAATTGCCTGGAATAAAACCAAACATGTAAAACTGCTTATTATGATGAATTAAACTTTTAGGGGAAACAAAAAGGAATTGCCTTGTGATTTCATTATCTTCCAAAACACCCCTCAGTACTTACTCAGAAAACGGGCACTGATGTCCTTTATTATCTCTGTCTACATAGAAACTGGTTTTAGCATTTTAAAAATCGTATACGAATGTCACTGAAAAAATTATTAACTCTTAAAACTGGAAATTAATACTCGTATTTATTGTTTTCTTTACTACTAAATTAGCAGTAAACAATTGTTGGGTAAACATAATTTTTTGGTTTAATTATGTTTCTGATTTGAGTGCAAATAACCTTTAGGACCCAAAAATAGATTTAACAAGTAGTAATACCAACTTACAGTAAATCCTTGCGGCCCTCCATCTTTTACATGATAAATTCCACTGCCAGCTTGAAACAGAAATGTTCCACTTCCTTGGTGATAATCGTAAGAAGCAATTCCAACTGTTCCAATGCGTTTTCTTTCTCTTAATAGTTCTTCTTCTCGAGAGTACATTCCATAGTCCAGTGTGGCCTAATGTAGAAGGAAGGAAAAGTCTCCTGTTCCAGTCTTCTGAGAGCTGGCTTTTTGCTTTTAGCACTGAAATCCTAGCATCTCTAATACGATTGAGTTTACATTTTGAGTGATCCCCAAATTTGCCAGCAACTCTAAGTAGATTAATTGTAGGAAGTCTGCCGAAAGATTTCTTGGTAAAGGGTCCCTAGATGATTACTGTATACATCAGAGAACAAGAATTAAGTATTGTCACCTTGGCTTGGCATTCAAGATCTTCAACAACTTAAATGGTAATTAAGCAGTTTTCATGCAGTTAGGAGCACAGGCTTTGAAGTCAAGTGATTTGAATCTAGGCTTTGACCATTTCTAGAAGTCTGACTTTGGGCAAGTAGCTTAACTTCTTCAAAAGTAATTTTCCTAACTTTCAAAATAGTATTAAATCACCTACCTCAGCTTTGTGAAGATTAACTTAGAAAAAAACATGTAAAATGTTCGGCACATCGATTGGCACAGAGCGAAGCTCTCAAATGTCAGCGGTCGTTAGTACCTTTCCACTACGCCTACTGATGCTCCTGTTATAAAACCTTGGGTCAGGCTGGTCACATCACTGATGTAAAACCCAATATGTGGTGTTCTGCCTCCTGGCCTTTGTTCCATTTTCTCCCCTTGAAAGGCCATTTTTCTTTCTATCCATCCGAGTTTTACTAATGTTCCAAAACCTTAGACCTAATTCAACCTTGGCCAGGGAAGTTTCCTATGGTGATCTCTTCTCAGAAATTTGTATCTAAGAGTTACTGCCTCTTTTACTCACTTGGCTATGGCTTTGTCTTGCACTTTTTTCAGTATCTCTGACTAGAAATAGATTTAAAAAACAACAACAACAACCTGAGAGCAGAATCTGTGTCATTTTGTTTCATACCTATAGCATCAGTTAAAATCGCTCTCAAGGAATATTTGTAATTAATGACTGACAACGAGGAGAGACTTTCCTAAGCTAAAAATATCATTTGATACATGTATAAATTTTAAAAAGGAATATAAAGAAAACAAATCTAGTAAGTGCTAGCTTAAAAAATTTACATCCACATCTTCCCTCACTAATAGCTCTTTATGATAAATGAAGGGTTAAATAAGGTAATGATAAATAAGGGAAACTATATAGTATACTTTTAAATAACTCATGGATTAAAGGGAAATAGAAAGTATTTTGAACTAAATGAAAATGAAAACTCAACATACCAAAACGTATGTGCTGTAATTAATGTGGTACCTAAAGGTAAATTTGTAACACCAAGTGCCTATGTAAGAAAAAAAGGAAGGTCTCAAACTAGTGACCTCAGCTACCGCCTTTTGAAATAAGAAAAAAAGACCAAAAAGGAGCGGAATAAAGGAAATAATAAAGTTCAGAGTATAAAACAATGAAATAGAAAAAAGAAAATGACAGAAAAATAAATGAAACCAAACTGATAAACCCTTAGCCAGACAGATCAGAAAAAAAGGGGGGTAAGTGGAGAAGACACAAATTACACAAAATATCAGGAATAACAGAGGGATATCACCAAAGATTCTTCAGACATTAAAAAGCTTAGGAAATATTAAGAACTTTATGCCAATTCAATTCAATAGATGAAATGGAAACATTCCCAAACAGATACAAACAACCAAAGCTTCCTCAAAAAGAAATAACATAACTTCAATAGCACTATATCTAACGAAGAAACTGAATTTGTAGTTAAAAATTTTTCCACAAGGAAAACTACAGGTCCAGATAGCTTCACTACCAAACAAATTCTTCTAGAAAATTAGAAAGAAGGAAGTTAACTCCAAACTTATTCTGTGGCTCACTTAACACTGTTACCAAAATCAGATAAAGACATGACAAGAACTCTACTGACCAATATCCCTCACGAACATGAACATTAAAAAAAATCTAAAAAAAATTTTAGCATATTGAATCCAACAATATTTAAAAGAATAATAAATTATAACCTAGTGGGCTTTTACCAGGAATGCAGGTTGATTTAACATTCAACAATCATGTGATATTTTACCATATTAACAAATTAAAAAAGAAAAATCCTATGATCTTTTTTCAAGACACACAAAAAATTTGACAAAATTCTGATTAAAAACCCTAAGCAAATTAGAAATAGAAGGGAACTTCCTCAGCCTAAGAAAGGTCATTTATGAGAAACTTACAGCTAACAGACTTACTGGTAAAGGACTGACTGAGTCCTCTTAAGATCAGGAAGAAGACTAGAGCATCTGCTGTCATGACTTCTATTCAGCATCGTACTGGAAGAGTTTGCCAGTACAATGAGGCAAGAAAAAGAGACAAAAGGCAAGTATATTGGAAAGGATGAAGTCAGACTGTCAGTGTTTGCAGACAATATGACCGTTTGTATGGAAAAACCCAATGGAAGCTATTAAAAAACCTAGTGGAATTAATAAACGAGTTTAAGCAAGGTTGCAGGATATAAGATCAATATACAAAACCAACTGTATTTCTAAATACTAGCAATGAACACCAACCAGAAGCTGAAATTAGAAAACAAAACCATTTACAATAGAATAAAAAATATGAAATACTGAAGAGAGAAATCTTGTGAGAGACTGTGCAAGACTGGTTTGATTGCTGCCTGGAGGTGGGTGGGTAGCGGGGAATGAATAAGGGTACAAGGAAACTCTGGGGGGTAATGACTGAGGTCATGATTTCACAGATAAATGTGTATGTCCAAATCTGTTAAATTGTACACTTTAATGTTTGCAATTTATTATACGTCAATTCTCTCTCAATAAAGCTTTAAAAAATGAAACCACAAAAAGCACTAGAAGAAAACATGGGTAAATTGTTTTATAAGTTGGGTGTAGGAAAACTGTCCTAAGACAGAAGACACAAATTCTAGAAGCAATACCAAAAAAGGCTGATAAATTTTATTACACAAAAATCTTTCAAGTGGTACTCACATACACCACAAAGAAAGTAAAAACACAAATGATAACCTTGGGAAAATATTTGCAAACTATATCACAGACAAAGGGTTAATTTCTCCAGTATATAAAAGACTCCTAAAAATGAAGAAAAAGACCAATCACCCCACAGAAAGATGCATTAGAGATATCAATAAACAATTTACAGAGAAAGAAATGCAAATAGCCTTTAACTATATAAAAAGATGATCAACTTTGCCTATAGCAGAAATGCAAATTAAACTAAACTGGGATACCATTTCCATCTATCAGATTGGCAAAAAATCCAAATGTGTGACCACATACTGTGTTGAAGAGTCTGTGGGAAAACACACACACTTATACTAATCTTCTTTGTATCGTTCCAGTTTTAGTGTACGTGCTGCTGAGGCAAGCATGCTGAGATTCTTATGCAGGATAAATGAGTAAAGACCTAGAAACAACTACCAACCCAGTAATAATGAGCATCTCTAGTACGCAGATCATGATATCTTAATGCCAATTCCCCGTACAGGAACCAGGGCCCCTTAGAGAAATGGCTGATTTCAAGCGCGGGATAAGTCATGTGAAAGATCGTCATGAAAGATCGTCATGAAACATCTTCATTGTACCAGAGAGCAAGAGAGCTATCAACTAGTACCACGGTCATGTCAAAAGGATTTGTCGAGTTGAAGGGGCTTCCATCAACCAAAATTAAGACAGTTCGTACATTAAGAATAACTGTCAATGGATCAAAATAATCAGAGAAGTGGCGGTAGCGACTATGAGGGGGAACTGGCAAGGCTACAATGAAACACCAATGGCCAAGATTTGATAATTGTTGAAACTTGTTTACATGTGATTCTATTTCTGTATGGTTTGAAATTTTCCATAATAAAAGCTTAAAAAAAAATTTGACTCACTAATTTGCAAACTATACCATAAGAAAACTGCCATTATTTCAGTTCGACACACTGTTCTTAGAATAAAGAATTTTTGTTTTAAAGAAAAGTCACAAGTCTATGTAAAAAACATCCACGATTTTGACGGTCACAGTCAAAATGATTAGTTGTCATGGAAGTTACTTTTTTTTAATTAGGACAAATATCACATTTTAGTTCATTTAGCCCAAACATGCTGTTCAGTAGTACTCAATGTAAAAATAATAAATGAGAACCAAAAAAGCAAACAATCACACCCCAACTGTCATCTTGTTCTTGGGATGTTTTCAATTATTTACATTTTGTCTAAAGACAAAATATTGAAGAAGAAACAAAAAAAACCCTAACTTTTAATTTTACATAAATTGAATTATACTATTTAGAAACAAAAACAGAACTTTGTATCTTTATTTAACCCTTATGTTAGTGCTGTTACTAAATATTAGAACTACAAATCCAATTTAAAGATTTAAATAAAAAGCTTCCTGAAAATATATTACTTCTTTTATGTGAATAACTACAAAATGTGAGAACTACATAACTAGCAAGTTTGTAAAAGGGAAAGGTGGTTCAACAGGAAGAAGGCAGTTTTCAAAAAAAAATCTGAATTGTAATATCTCTTAGCTTCAGATATTGACAACTAAATGAAATTTAAGGGTCATACATGCAAAATCATTAAAATGTTTTAATTCCTTTTGACTCATATCTGCTTTAAATATAAAACCCCAACTGAATTTCTGCCTCTAAATAAATGAAACATCTAAAAACTTATACCAAGTCAGGAATAACAATGTTTAATCCCACCTGAAAAAGATCCAAAAGAGGCTTCCAAGAGAGCATTAAGACTGCTGCTCTGTTGATGGTTTTGGGAATTTCAGAATAAAAGAGTGTATTTTCTCTGTTCTCACCAGACATAGCTTTAAAAGAAAAAAATCACTTTGTTATTTTTTAAAACTAGCAATCTATTACAACCATAGCAGTAAGTACATAACACCTTCTATATGCTGCAAAATTTTGCACTCTATAGGACTTAACAATGAATGTTAACAAGGAGATGCACACGCCACATACCATGGTAATTTTCTTCAATAAAACCCAGGCTTCACAGAAAAATCCTAAGATTTCCTTTTAATATTCAAATTTTAGTCCCTCTCAAAACATAAAAGTGTAAAAAATGATGTAGTGACAAGTGTCATTTTTAGTTTTTTTTTGAAAATTATGTCTTATAAGTTGGCAATAGACTCATTAGATTCCAAATGGGGGTGCTTTATGACAACTTCAGATTATTAAACTGCTTCTTTTTCTGAATCATTTAAAGTACCTATTTAGAAATATACACAGGTCTAATCGAATTTATAACTGAACTAAAAATGTTCTATAACTGTAATCACTAATACATTTCAAATGAAAGTATACTCATATTAAAACAACACAATCTGATGATACTTGATTTGCTAAAAGTATCTTTATCCTTTATTGTTAGGAATTGTGAAAGAGAGAGATCTATGCTACGTAGAAGATAGGTCTATTCTGTGAAATCATACAATAATTGAATGGGAAGATCACAGCAGTGGAGAATGAACTACATACGAGAAAAAAAGAAGTAAGAAAAATACAGCATGGTTATCAAGATGTGAACCAAAGAAAACCCTTCAACCCTAAAAGGTACCAGAAAGGTATCACTTCCAAAAAAGCTAGGGGACAGTGAAGGAAGGAGAAAATAAGTCACACAGGAAGGACAAAACCTGTCTTGAGAGGAACAAATCCTCAGCCTAGTGGTCCTGATAATGGCCGTGAAAGTAGTCTGTGGAAGGGCATGGTTAATTTCCATCCTAATCCCTGCAAAAGTTGGGGATGAGCTCCCACACATCCACAGCTTCTTTATCCCTTTATTTTCCTAAACATTTCTTAAGGATTTTTTAGTTTTTGTTGGCTTTTCGGGTAAAAAGTTAGGTATCAACTGACATTTACTTCAGTACTTGATTTTGCCTTAAATCTATTTTGTATGTTCCAGGGTAACTTTGTTACAGAATTCCTAAGACTGTAGTCACCTACCAATATCATTAATGATTTTACAAAATGTGATCACAGCCTCCTTAAGCCTTCTCCTTCTAAGAGCCTTCAGCCTGCAAATATGAAAAAGCTGGTTCTCTTCTAGCCTCAAATGAGAGCCATTCCCCACAATCACTTCAGCTGCCCCTCTTGAAACTGCTCCCTGCTCCATAATGCCTTCCTTGGCTTCAACCATTATCAGTAAGAATTCCCAAGGCAGTCTACGAACACACACCCCAGTTCTGCATAAAAACAAAACGGGCTTTTCTCATTGTTTCTTTCCTGATGACACACAGGTATTTACTGGTGTCCGAGGTCAATTAAAAATTTTGAAACAATGGATTCATATGGAAAAAATTTTAAAATTCAGACAGGTAGAAAAGACTTGAGCAAATGAAATGGCATACAACTTTCTTGAAAAGCTCAACATTTTAAAGACTGACAATTTTCCCTACCTTCATCTATAGATATAACATAATCCTAAAACAGTATAAATAGGATTGGGAGTAAAGAGCTTTACGAGTTACTTTTTACATTCTCACAGGAAAACAAGCAAACAAAAATACTCCAGAGAAGTATGAAAAAGAGTGATGAAGGGTGACTAGTACTATCAAGCAGTAAAACATCTAAAGCTATGATAATAATAATAGCAACAACATAGTATTAGCACTTGATTTGACAGATCAACGGAACAAAACAAAGTCCAAATTATATAAAGATTTTAAAAAACACAATGAAGTATGTAAAGATTGCAAAACATATAATTTGGAGTTGAGAAAGCCTTTCAAGATATGATGCAAAACTACATAAAAGGAAAAATTTAACTAGCAAAAACAAAAAATCACAAATTCCTACATGGCAAATGCACTAAAGGCAAAAGTCAAATTAAATTTCAGGGGAAAATACTACAATGGGTTAATTCCCTTATTGTACAAAAAAATGCTTTAGGTCAAAAAGAAGAGCACGCCCAACCCAATAAAAAAACAGACAATGATTACAAACAGATCAGTCATAGAAAAGGAAATACAAGTGTCTTGTAAATATGTGAGATGCTCAACCTCGCTCATAAGAGAAATACAAATTAAAACTACAATGAAATATGGGGATTAATGTACAGCATGAATGACTATAATTAACAATACTGTACTGCATATTTGAAAGTCGCTAAGAAAATAAATCTTAAAAGTTCTCATCAGAGAAAAACTTTTTTTATTAACTGTGTGTGGTGACAGATGTTAACTGGATTTACTGCGGTGTTCATTTAACAATGTGTACGAATACTGAACCATTGAGTTGCACACATGAAACTAATATAATGTTAAATGTCAACTATACCTCAATTTAAAAAAATAATAATTTTTTAAAAAGTACAAAGATGGACTAATGTTCACCAATCAGACTGAGAAAGAGAAAGGTTGATTACTCACTATTGGTTCAAGGGTGGAGAAACAGATACCCTGAGACAACGCTGATAGGGATGTAAACTCTATAGTCTCATTGGAGGGGGAACTTGACAGTATCAACAATATCATTATCAGAATAGACACACCTTTTGACTCAGTAATTCCACTCTTTGGAATTACTCTTAGAAGAAAAGTCACACACAGACAAAACGATCTAGAAGTGAGATTCTCTGTCTCTTGTTTTGTAATAACAAAACAGAAAAACCTAAATGCCCATTATTAGAGGCCTAGTTAAGTAAAATATGGCACAATTACATAATGGAATATTCTGGAGTTGCTAGAAAATGAACGTATAATTACTGATGTAGACTTACGAAGAGAATATCTCTTTAAAAAAAAAACACATGAAACAGCTTTGGAGGAGGGGAGGAAACCTATTTTTAAAAACTTAATAAAGGCACTTTAGAAGGTCAGTGCCCTCATACACGCCTCTGGCTACTCAGCCCTTCCTTCCCCATCAAAGCCCCAGCCATGGGATTCCAGTCGGGACACAGTTCCTCCAGGGTTCCCATCCCTCTCACATCCTTTTCTTCCTCACTCTACCAACCAGACATTCATTCCCTTCAGGCTCCGAGTTAGGAAAATAAAATAGCCTGACTACAGGAAGGAAGCTCTAAGATTTATGGGCTTATGATTCTACTTCAACTACTGTATGTGGAGAGAAACTCCCTTCTTTAAGCAGGTTTAATAGCAACATAAGCATTTCATGAAAGAGTTGTTTACAGATAAGAATTATGGATGGTACGGCTATAATTTTAAAACATTATACTAAATATAAGGTTTTCCCCCCTAATTATGCTCAAACTCTCTTCCAACCACTGCCTGAATTAACAATTATGGATGGGCTTCCCTTTCCTTTCTTTCTTTTTTTTTTTTCCCCAAGTGGGGAGGAAAATAAGTAGATGGGCTTTTCCTATACCGCTTCTCCAATCCGAGGAAAATTTGATTTTTTTACCTCCTTAAAAGCCTTAACATAAGTTTCTTGAGAAATATATATATATATAAATATATGTGTGTGTGTGTATATATATATATGTATATATATAATCTACTCAAATGACTTATCTAAATATTTTAGCATCAATAAATCTCTCAATAAATATGTATTCAATGAGCAACAAGGAATAGGCTCTTGAGATTTAAGCTAATAATAATACAAATAATAATTACCAGCTGGTGAATGACAGGCAGTGTACTGTAACTTACAACTATTATTTCAAATCCTAAAAATAATATTGCAATGTGACAGTTGCTTGGGTGATGGGAATGGGGTCTAAAAATTGTTTTCTTTTTCTTTCCCTTTCTAGGTTTCCTTCTTCAAACTAACCATAGTAAAACTTGGTTTGGTTATACAAACACAGCATTGAGTTTATTAACATTTGAGTTTGGAAGTGTTTTCATGTAAAATGTTTAGTACTTACAACAATCCTCTGAGATAGATATTAATCCTCATTTGATACATAAGGAAACTTGAGACCCACAGGGTAAATAAGGTACCCATGGACTGAGCCCAGGTCTTCTGATTTCAAGACTGGCTCTTTATTCACTGCGTTATATCCATATACATGCTAGCTTAGTCATTTCTTTCAATCCTAAGCTGTGCCTAGGCAAGGTAGTTGCTAAATATTTATAACCTTTTTTATTACCTTTATTACCTTTTACTGTGACATCTTAATAAAGCATTTAAGGTACATAAACAAGTGAATCAGAAAAAGAAGTCAATCAGTGATGTAATATATTTAATTAAGACAAATCTTAAATCTGGAGTGAATGGGCTCAGGAAGAAGAGACCAAGAACAGCCTTGGTTTAAAAAAAAAAAAATGAGATGCAATTGTTAAGCGTGGGAACAAACTACTGGTTTTATTATGTTCCTAACCTGATTCCTACAGGAAGGCATTTTGAACTAGCTTTAGGAAGAAGCAATATCTAGCACCTCTAACTTTGACTTTGAAAGTAAGATCATGATCAATCCATCATTTGTTACCTGGAGGTAAAAATATAATGGGACAAAACAAATAAAACAGCACTAAAACTGAAGTTCTTCAAATCAGCTTTTTTTCCTTTAATGGAACCATTACTGATTCATTAATTTATTCACCAAAATTTGAGTGCCAATTGCATCTAGCCTCTAAGTTTGAATTAAGAAAGCATTTCTTTTCAGAAACCATGACTTCATACTCACCAAGGTAATAGATTCTGTCTGAATGCGGCCCATCTGGATCATTCCTCTTTACAAACATAAAATCATGAGGTGCCTTAGCCATCATGTAGCCATGATATTTTCTGGTATCAGCAAGGAGCTTTTTAAGCTGACTCCAGGAATATCGCTCAACATAAAATGGCTCCAATTTAGGCTGATCCTGTGATTCAACATTCTCCTCACACTCTGCAGTTTCAAAGATCTCAACACCCAGCTGTTCTGTTTCCATCGCTGCTGCCATGTTGCATTTTCCTAGAAAAAGAAGGCACATGAAGTTCACAGGTCTGCCTTCTCATATGAATCAGAATGACAGTCTGACAGGGCCCTCCCACCAAAAAAAGGAAAGAAAAAAATGCTTTTCAGTAGTTGCAATGAAACCTAGTAAGGCAATAACTCCCCCTTGTGTGTTCATTTCAAAAGTGAGATTTTTTTTTTTTTTAATTGAGGTCATGTCCATTTCACAGTGACTATAAACCCCTTTGGTAACTTTCATAGGAGGCTCTCCTTAGGTATCTCTTGCCAAAATTCCTTTTTCTTTCCCACCCTGGAAGGAAACAGGCCACATGCCAGTTGGCTGCTATGCTCCTTCCACGAGTTTGTCAATACTGAAGCTAAGTATGCCAAGGGAGTTAAGTGTTTTTGCACTTTAAAAAAGTAGCACATCTGATAAACGTGGACTTCGTCAGCTAACAGAAATAATCATGGCGAATTAGAACGGTAATAAAATTGTTGCAAACAATGTACTTGTAATAATCTTCCTAGGTCACTTACCCAAGATAATATAAATACTGTTTCCTTTTAAGTGGGACTCCAAAACAACAAAAGACCTAACTGGCTGCTACATTTTTCTCTTGTCGTTAGTTTCTCCCTAGAAATCATTACTTTCTGATGATCCCTTGTGGTAGCTCTACACTATAAGGAATCTATGTGACTATTATTACAGAGTATACAACTTTTATTCTCATGATTAAGTGAGAGGGAAAAAAAGATACCATCTTCAAGTGGCTTTAGGTGAAGCGGTTTATGCAGAAAGCATTTAATGTTTGTACTATCAATATTTTGATAAAAGTCTGAACTCAGTTTATGCGTTCAACTCCAAAACAGTGTTAATATTTCATCTACTAATCATGTTTCTTTCATTTTGCAAATCCAGAAGAGGATTATTTTTCCTTTATCTATTTTAATATTTAAATGTAACAGGTGCAAAGTGTCAGAGAAAACAACAAGAAGTGTTATCATAAGCCACTGTCTGGTATTCTGACATGCATTATTCATAACACTACCAAAAAGGAACAACATGAACAGAAATTCTAGGGCAACTTGCTCTTTTTGAACTAATAAATGTCAAAAACATGTGGACTTGGAAGATTAAACTAGATTGCATTTGTGTAACCAATTCAGACAATTATTAACTACTGCTACAACAAAAATCAATACATGGCTGAATATTTAACATGATGTCTTTTTTAAAGCTTAGTTTCACAAGTTGACAGAGTTCATGGTAACTACCAACCACAGAGAAAAAGTAATTAGCAGGTGTGGGTTGTGAATTAGTCCATCACTGTGCTGTACAGCATATAAAATGAACAGAACTGTGTGGCCTGGATACTGTGTCTTTTTTCAAGCTACAGTGAACTACACTACCATTTCCAATGTAACAATAGCAAGAGCAGCCAGAAAACCCATTCAGGAGTTCCATAAGTATACAACTTGTAATATTATTACAACTGGGCATTTACCGCCAATGATTGAACCCAAACAGCTCAAAAGAGAAGAAGTCATTTAGCTCAACTGGTACTCAGTACACTGATAGTAAGTAGCAGTATATGATAATAGTCGTTTGCTGATCTAAAAGCTGGTGGAGGTCGGTTTCTATCAAATATGTCAGTGGATCTACTTTGATTCCTAACAGAGTGAGGGGCAGGTAAGAGAAGAGATATAAATTGGGCTTATTTTTCTCAACTTCCCTTGTGTTAAAATCATCTCCAAACCACTGCTGGAAACAATCGGTCTAGAGGGATAAAACAGAGAAGCTCAGCCCACAGACCTCCCAAGCTTACTGCCCAGATTCTTGAGTCATCATTAACGTGACATCTCTCCTCCATAAAAGTTGCATTAGCTTGCGTATAAGCAAAATTATCTGGTATTCCTAAATTGTATTAGGTCTCTGGACTATTTCTCTCTCTACATACATACACAAATTGTACAGTTCAAATAACACTACTATTCTCTGTTTTATGGTAAATGTATGTCCTGCATTTCCTAGGATAGACCTGATACTATATAATTTTAGTAATTTACACAAATGGGTAACCAAATGATTTAAGTTCCAGATTTCCGTAACACCTTATGCACAAATGCATTCTCAAAATATGCGACCCAAGTTGTCCAATTTCAAAAATTATAAAACAGGTCATCACCCATTCTCAGCACCATGCATGTTTCACTGCCCCACCTATCTCTTCACTTTGGGACCTTCCGTGGTGCCTACCTGATTGTATTTTCATCTGCTCAGATCTCTTCCACATTCAAAGAGATCTTTTTCAAGTGACTCAACTTCAAGCATAGATCCCTCTGCTCATCCTGCTCTCTTCTCACAGGAGTCTTTCCTTTTCTCACCATCCAATCCTGCTCACCAGGATAATGAAATACGATATAAGGCTGTTGATCATTATTAAAATGGATCATATGTGGCCAAAAAAAAAAAAAAAAAATTAAACCTAAAGTCTCAAGCAGTATTTAAAACTGATGCATAAATATTTTTTTCTGGTATAATCCCTGAATTATTTTGTATCTGCATTTTTGTTATGAAAATTATAATTTTATTTCAGAAATGTATAACCCAATTTACTCAAAAGAATATCCGAACAGCAGTGTAAATCCTGACATCGACAAACGTTAAAAGGAAAATTATGGAAGAACTTTAAAAAATATAAAAGGCATACAGATGTGAGGTTACTCAGTGGCTATTGCAAATCCTCAAAAACGACAGATGATTAACATAATTTATTTCTATGTGCCTAGTCCTGTTCTTCTGCCTTTTACATAATAATACATTTGTATTACTTTACAGAATACATATCAAGCTGGTTGGAGACATAATAGATTCAGTAGAATAACCAGGAAGAATTATAGAACAGGCCATTTTTGTGGAAAGAGCACTTGCAGTTAATAACAAGATTTTCACAAGATAAAGTATGTACTATCCATTTTCATTGCATCATATTTTTGCTTCTTTCCTTTCCACAAATATCCTGAAAATAATCAAACTAGGTGACTTTTCCAGAAAAGGAAGTGTTGAGTTCAAATTCTGGCTGAGTAAAAGAAAAGAAATTAAAAAAAAGCAGGATGTGTGATTGTACCTGTTACTCTGTTATCAGTTTTAATTCTGCGCTCTCGTAGCCCAAATAGGCGATGGAGAGAGATGTGGTGCGAACGGCTCAGTGGTAAATGGAGGGGAAAGGTGAAGCTGTGCTAGCACAGCAACAATGGAGTAAGATGTCAAGACACCTTCCCACGCATTAAGCCCTTCATTCAGAGAAGAGCATGCTGGGTTAGAAAACAGCTTCAGGACTCTTGAATTTGGATCCACTCAAATGTCATTCCTTAGTTTTTAATCCAGGAGCCAATCTGTCCACTTAAACACCCCAAACCACGTTGAAGCCTAGCTATTTCACTCGTCAGGGTTCACAGCTAGTTGAGGGTTCATTATCACAAAGTGGGCAAAGATCTTGAAAGCTAGAATGAGTAAGAGGAGAGGTGCAGAAGAGAATGTGGAGAAGGGGGTTTGGGGGGGATGCCAAAACTTAGAAGAAAAGTGCGTGAAGGGAAAGGTTTGAAAAAAGAAAGGAAAGTACCTATCCTTCCCCGGTTGGGTGAAATAGAATGAAAAGAGGCCAGTGACCAAGGAGGGAATCGACCTAGAGTGGGACAGTAGAAAGGACACCAGCTGGGAAACCAGAAAATCTCAGTCCGAATCCGATCTGCCACAATCGGACTTTTGGCAAATCCCTTCGCCTCTGTGGGCTTCCGTTTCTCATCTGTAAGCCCGGACAGTACCCGGCTCCCAACCCCAGCAAGGCTCAATTAAGATAACGGACGTGGAGGTCCGGAGGCCAGCACCCAGCGCTCCGGGGGCGCCCAGTGAACGTTGGCTGACTCGGAATCTCAGAGCCTCGGCTTCCTCTTCCGGCAAGTGGGGCCCCGCCACCGGCTCTGGCCCGCGCACGGCGGCGCGCCGGATAAA